ACAAAAAGAAAAAAAAAAAAAAAAAAAAAGACCTATATCAAAATTTACCACAGCACTGTCCGGTAAAAAATTATAACTACCCTAATGTCCATCACAGATTAAATAAATTACAGTAGAGCTATAGAATGTAACATGATTGAACCATTAAAAGAAGATCTACATGTATTAATGTGGGAAGATAAGCATATAACATTGTTGACTTTTAAAATTAAGGTTAAAGAAGAAGTGTTTATCATAATGCCATCTATGTCAAGAAATCTTTAAAAGTTACATGTTTATTTATGTAGAGATGGGATCTGGAACAACAGACAACAAATCATAAACAGTCATTTTCCAGTCCTTTTCTGGAAAAGTGGGAAGGCTTTTGGATAATACACATGATTGTGCTTTGTGAGGTTTTTATAATTTGAAAGGAAATAGATTTTTACAACATAAAAGATAATTGATTTTTGCACACAAAAAAGAAAGTTTCCTGATTACAAAAGTGTAATCTTGGTTACAAATATGAACTGGCTCTTTGGATCTTAATCCATTTGTCAGAGTAAATGTGTCAATTCAAAATATACCAGAAATAATTGAAAATCATTCATTCATTTCTTCAAAGTCCCTTGTGCATATTTTACAGTTCTAATTTGAAATATCATGCTGTTTTAAAAGACTTTTCTGAATTTAGGGGCAAAAGGGAGCAAAATGAAATATGGTAGAAGACCTTGGTTCAAGTCCAGCTCTTTAAGCATGTAAGCCTGCAGCTCTGAATGAGTCATTTTATCTCTTTTCTATTTACCTGTAAATTTAAGGGATTTGAGTTTCCCCACATGTGTTCTGAGGAACAATGGTTCCAAAAAAGGCTCCATGAAGAAAGGATTTTGTGGTGAAATATATTGTTTCTCCTCAGTCGTCATATTAAAGTTTCTGAGATGCCCTCCCCTCCACGACCACCAAAATAAAAATCTTATCTGTGTTTAACCTAGCAATTTCCTGACATAATTGATGCCAGAGCCCTTTCTTTATAAGCACAGATGACTAGTGTACTTAGGGAAATGCTGAACCAGAAAATCTTGACCCCTCCCAAGTCCACGATTCAAAAGGCAGTTCAGTAATTACATATAACCAAATAATTACATGGAACAAATAAAAACAACACTTCAAAATTCAACACAAAAGGAACTATTCACTGTGAAAGTCATATGATACATGAAAACAGGGTTTATAACCTGTTTTTAGTGGTCACCTGACACGCAAAATCCTTCATGTGCAAGTCTGCAACTGGCAGCACCTTTTCTGCTGTCTGATGCCATGTAGAAATCGGGGACACACACACACACACACACACACACACACACACACACAACTAAAACCACTACTGCCTACAGTGTTTAAAATAAAAACAATTAATGTTTTTAAAGCTTTTTAAAAATCATTCCCAAATCTTCTGTTTCCCCCCGCTAAGCTTTTCCCTCACTAATTATAGAGTTCTTTTGCTTTCATTCCCTCTCTCACTCCCCCCTCAAGAAAGCACAGATTATCAAATCAGATGAAGTGGAGCAGAAGTCAACTACTGCAACCAAGAGAATGGACACAGGTTTAACTAGGGTTATCATATGTTCACATGTTTTGTTTCTGCAGTAAAAACACCATCACTTATTGATCTCCTCCTTGTTTTGAGTGTCCAGGGGCACTATCGCGAACTTAATTTGATTTCATTTTCCATTGTTACAATTTTTGATAGGTATGATTTATAAGTAAACTTATAAGTGGTGATTTATATTGGACTTTCCAAGTCTAAATTTCCATCCCTTATGGATCACTAAGTTCTATATATTCTTCATGATATTCTGAAAGAATAGTTCTTTAAATTCTGTCACATATTCATCCTTCCCCAAATTATTACATGAAGCAATTTAGATTTATAATACATCACACAAAAATAATAACATCTCTAAGAAACTATAATGGAATTTGCTATTCTATCAAAAATTGCTGTTACACCAGTGGGAAAGATTTGTCGAAAGAAGAGGAGGAATTAGCACATTATATTTCTTCACAAAAAATCAGCTCCTCTCCTTGACTTGACAATTTATTAGAGGTGCCTCCATTTTTTTAGTCACACTGGTTCCAATTCTTAGTTTTACCCGAACTATTTAATGAATCTTATATGTTCCATCTTCACAATTTTTTCATCTGACTCAAGTGCTTTCTTGGGTCACAATGCCCTGCTTCTGGGCCTAACTATCTCCTACTTGGATAAGTGTACATTGCTTCATTAACATTTCAAGTCTCCTCCCTGTTCCATTTTCTCCCACACTTGCATTTTCTCTCTGAATTAATCTTACTGTTAGTTTCCTGTCTCAAAAATCTACAATACCTCCATTTAGGCTGTAGGTGAGACCATTCACAGTCTAAGGCGAATAATGTGAGGTCCTTCTCTAAAGAGACTGAAGGAAATATCTGGGCATTGGTGAAATATTGGATCTGACACACAGACCCCATTCATTCTAACAATTAGGAGGCCACTGATGCAAGAGCTGGCTCCCCACCCATTCAACCTTAAGTTATTACTACCCCTCATTCATATGTCTGAAGGGTCAACCAAGAATCACAAAACATGCAGCATAATCAAAATAGGCCAAGATAAATGAGGGAACAAAAGAAATTTTATATACCATCCAATTAGTGTCTCCATAGATATTTGAGATAATAATGACATCAATAAAATAGAGCAAAAACACCCAGAGAATTTAAAAAACACTCTCAGAAAATTAAAAATGATTGGTGAAATTAGGTGGGGGTGGAAGTAAAAGGTTAGAAAATCTCTCAGGACATAGGCAAACAGACGGAGAATCAGGGTAGTGGAAATCAAGGAAAACAGTAGAGCCAGGACTCAAGCCAGATCTTTGACGCCAAAAGCCCTTGTATACCAGGATGCCTAGTATAACATTCTGTAGGTTATTTCAATTGTCCCTCAACACCATAATCATATTACGCTTTAGAATCTACAAGTTCTAGGCCTCCAGTAGACCTTCTTGCTCAAGCCATGCTCATTTCTTATCCCTTAGCTTTAAAAAATTTTTTTTCTGTAAAAATTTTTAGCTGATATGTTGACTTGTAAGGAATCAGTCCTTTTATTGTAGGCCATCTTATTTTACTGCCTCTTTCCGAAAACAAGAGGCATTTAATAGATAACAGGTAAATGTAAAGAACAACAAATTCCCATCAAATGGAAGCTCTTGAGATACTCCTGTTTCATCAAACTGTGAGATATTTCAGGCAGATCTTATCAAATACATCCAACATCTCAGTGGTGCTGTAACAACTGGACTTCCACATGCCAAAAAAAGTAAATGTAGGCATAGCTTCTACCTTTTACAAAAACTCAAAGTGGATCACCGATCTAATTTTACAAAGCAAAACAAAAAACTCCTAAAAGATAACATTGGAAAAAAATGTAGATGACCTTCGGTATGGCAAATAGATAGACAGATAGGAAGATATTTAGATAAAATAAAAAAGCCAATGGATGAATTGAAATGGAATTTCAAAAAGGTCTTAACACAGAAGGTAGACATGGAAGAAAACAGGCACATACACACACACACACATACAATTAGCAAAGTGGTAATCAAACTATATAAATAAATATGTTAAGTGTAAATAAACTTAACATTCTAACTAAAATGCAGAGATCAAAAGAATAGATAAAAAAGCAAGATCTGACCATGTGTTATTTACAAGAGAGCCGCTTTAACTATACAGATACAGAAAGATCAGAAATAAGACGATGGAAGTGACATACTATTAAAACAATAAGCAATAAGAAGGCTACAGTTATGTTGATAAGAGTAAATCACAGTTGGAATAGCTGGGAGTTTTTAATACAACACTCTCAGCAGTTGATAATACTAGAAAAAAATCACAAAGGACTAAGATCTTAAACTCTATCAAGCCCCGGCTGGTGTGGCTCAGTTGGTAGGGCATCCTCCCATGCACTGAAAGGTTGCTGGTTTCCGGCTCCATGCCCTGTAGGGGGTGTACACAGGAGGCAGCTGATCAATCTCTCTCTCTCTCTCTCTCAAATCATTAAACCACTTTTTTCTTTTTAAATTTATCTTTACTGTTGAGAGTATTACAGGTGTCCCATTTTTCCCCCCCAACTGACCCCCTCCACTTCGCTCCCACCCCCTCCCCAGGCCTTCACTCCGTTATTAACTGTGTCCATGGGTTATGCATATATGTATATAACTTCTTTGGTTAATCTCTTCCCACCTACCACCCCCCTTCCCTCTGAAATATGATCGTCTGTTGCATGCGTCAATGTCTCAGGATCTACTTAGTCTGTCAGGTTCCTTTGTTCATTAGCTTCTTCTTAAAGAAGACCCTTCAACTTTTCCTGTAGTGCTGGTCTGGTAGTAATGAACTCCTTTAGCTTTTTCTTATCTCTGAAGCTATTTATTTGACCTTCAATTCTAAATGATAGCTTTGCTGGGAAGAGCAATCTTGGTTGTAGTTCCATGTTTTTCATCACTTTGAATATTTCTTGCCACTCCCTTCTGACCTGCAAACTTTCTGTTGAGAAATCAGCTGACAGTCCTATGGGTGCTCCCT